CCCTGCATCCATCCCTGCACCCATCCCTGCATCCATCCCTGCATCCAGCCCTGCATCCAGCCCTGCATCCATCCCCGCATCCATCCCTGCATCCATCCCTGCACCCAGCCCTGCATCCAGCCCTGCATCCATCCCTGCATCCATCCCTGCATCCAGCCCCGCATCCAGCCCCGCATCCATCCCTGCATCCATCCCTGCACCCATCCCTGCACCCAGCCCTGCATCCAGCCCTGCATGCATCCCTGCATCCACCCCTGCATCCATCCCTGCATCCATCCCTGCATCCATCCCTGCACCCAGCCCTGCATGCATCCCTGCATCCACCCCTGCATCCATCCCTGCATCCATCCCTGCATCCATCCCTGCATCCATCCCTGCATCCCAGCTGATTCTGCAGCACAGGAGGAGACAGCAGAGCTCCATGCCAGCATTACACCGTAATTAATGTTCTCTGAACGACCTTGAGAGAGGCACACGAGAGAATTGACTTGGCTAAATGTGGAAAGAAAAGAGCTCTAATGAAACAATAATAAAAATACAGCCTTAAACAGTGTTTGGAGAGCCTTTGAGCTGTTAAATTGATAAAAGTTGATTTAAGTCCTTTTTTTTTTTTCTGAGTAGCAGGGGGGAAAAAAAACCAACTTTTTTTGTTTGTTTTGATCAGGTTTTACATAGAGTTGTGTTCCAGATTTTATAGCAAAACATAAGCATTTGTCTATATTTAACTTTTAAAGTAGAATAATTAACATATTGTTTTGTTAAAGCCCTCAGAAATAGCACATTGCTATGGCTCCTCACTGTGTTACCTATTTAGAAACACACTGCAGTTTACTGTGTGTGTTTCCTTTAAAAACAAAATTTGAATTATCTAAGTTGAAAATAAAACAAAAATAAGATCCCAAGGCATATTGTTTTTTTAACATCCTGAACAAAACCAAACTCAAATCATACCTGGAAGGTGATGCTTGCATATACACAAAGTGTAATTCACAGCAGCGTGGAATTTGTTTAAATAATTTTGCTTTCTGATGCATTAAACATGAATGATGTGACATCAGGACACATTTTTCCTGGGGGAAAGACTGGATTTTTCAAGCGTCTGGTTCCTAAGGAAATCTTTAATTTACCAATATCAACTATTGCTAGTTATTTCCACATCTAATTTTTCACCAGATTTAATGGGGGTGTCTGCTAGCCTATGGAAAGTTACCAGAAATCTCTTTTGATACTAAGAGGGATCAATGGGAATCAATAAAAAAATAGGATCAGCATAGAAAAAGATGCTGAAGGTGCAGTTATGGCTTGGAAAACGCTCAGATGTTGGAGCAGGAAGTGGTGCTGTGCTGCTGAAGGCACTTTTTGGCAAATTTACCTGTGGAATTCCAGCCAGGATGCAAAAACTGGAGATGTGACAGCCCTTCCTGAGAAATGTCAGCATGTTCAGGATGTGGCTGGAGCCAAACCAAGCAAGTTTTTCCTCCTTCAAACTCGGTGTCCTTCTCCTAACAGTGATGAAGAGCAGATTGTTTCTCCAGAGCTGTCATTATTTCCATGTCCAGGGAAGAGATCTGGCACCAACCTCTGTGGTTGTTTATGATTAACAACTCACTTTGAGTTCTGGTGGGAGATCCAAGGGTCTGGAGTGTGGGGCAGGGAGGAAAAATGGTTGGCACAGCAGTGAAGGCCCTGAGCCCATCAAAAAATTTATGACACTATAGGTTAACTGCACCTTCTGCATTTTTTTTTTTTGGCCTTGCACTGTGTCTGAGCAAAATCCCAATTATTTATGCCAGAGCCAAGCAGACCCTCATGCTTTGGCTTGGTCAGCCTGTCTGTGCTGGCTCCCTGTGAATCCTTTGTGTCATTGTTTGCTCTCTTAGCAATCCATCTGTTTCCTGAGACCTTGTTCTGTGCCTCACTCTGCAGCAAATCCCAGCTTGGGCTTTTCATGGCATTGCTTCAATATTCTGCTGCTCTAGGCCAAACCCTGTGCTCTGCTCTGAGCTCTGAACCCCCAGCAGCATCTCAAAGCCAGCAGCACCCCAGATTGCTCTGCAGACCTCCAGACACCACAGGGTTTGGCTTTTCTGCTTCTCCTCCACTGGGTTCATTGTCTCTTCTTAGAGGAAAAAGTGAATTAAACCTCGCTGTGGGCCAGGCAGTGAAGCACTGACAACCCACAGCTCACAATTTATGCAACACTCTGCTAATTTTAGTCTCAGATATGGCCGGGGCAGACAATCCCCAGGGCAGAGATGTTTGCTCTCAGCTGAGGGCAGCACATGACATATGGTTCCTAAAGCATCCTCCAAGCTGGGAGCTTTGCATTCAGGCCTGAGTTGCTGCAGTTCCCTCCAAGTCATAACTTTGAGGATTACTCACCCTAGACATGCAAACACAGAGAATCTGCCTCCTAATTTAGATTATCCTGAATCAGTGAGCAGCCTCACCCCCACTGGGTTTTCTATTTGCAGTGAGGGCAGAGCCTGGCAGTGCCAGGCTGAGGGAGGGAGAGGAGCAGGCAGGGAGGGCTGTGCTGAGCAGGGCTGGGGCACCTTGGGCACAGAGCTCTGGCACTGGGGCCAAAGGATGCTCAGGGGATGCTGCTCCCACCTGGGAACTGGAGGCACTTTTGTTCAGGAATGCTCTGAAGCAGCAACTGCAGCCTCAGCTGATCTGCTGCGAGTGTTTTCTATTCATAGAGCAGCATCACAGCAGGGCTGGCAAAGACAAAGCACCAACGCAGCTTTAACCATCTCAGGGCATTCTGGATACCTTAAACCCCACCAGAGTTTTGTAGTGAGCTCCTTACTGGGCTCCATGAGCAGCTCTGGCACTTGGCTAAAAGATAATTTCCTAAAATTGTTCTTTTCCTAATTCTGCTCCACTCTACCCCAGAGCTGGACTCGCACAGCTGATTGTACTGGGAAGAAACACAAACAGAATCAAAACAAAGAACCAAAAATTCCTATGAAATGGAAATTTCAAGCTCCATTACAACCAGTAGAAGAAAAAATAATCAATGCTGTCAGAATGAAAAAGGCTGAGCTTGCTGGGAAATAAATATCATTTTCCCCAGTGTCTAAAAGCACTTGTAAAATATGCCACAAACAAGGATTAAAAAGACCTCAACTAATTCAAATAGAGAACAAAGATCCTCTGATTTTTTACCAGGTGGTGACATTGAGCCACAAGCTGTGTTTGGTGTTTGAGGTGCCAGAGTCTGGGATTTCCAGGGTGGGGATGAGGAAGGAGACACAGGGCTCTGGCACAGGGCAGGGAGGGGGACAGCTCTGCCCTGTTCTTATCTCTTAAAACAGGTTCTGGGCTTTGAGATGTGATTAAACCCATTCTCTTTTCATTTTAAATTGTAGGGATTCCATCTGACTTTTTTCCTTCTTTGTCCCTGAGGTCAGGTAAGATGTCTTTTGGACAAGTACCACAGGATTCAATCTGCTGCATCAACAATACCCAGCTTGCTGATTCAAACCTGTGTAGAAGAAGAATTTACCTTAGCTCCCTGTCACATGTTGGGAGACTGGAAATAAGCCAAGCAGGTTGGAAATGCATTAGTTGGGTGCAAATATTCCTTCTTTCTCATTTCTTGCTGTGGCTGTCCCCATCCCCGTGGGGAAGATCTCTCAGCTCAGACCAGCCCTCACCTCCAGCAGCAAGGTCAGGAAGATGCAGAGGGGACAGTCTGAGCCCAGCAGGACTGTCACACTGTCACAGCTCAAAGCCAAGGCCAGGAGAACTCTCCAAGGATCTGCTCCAAGCCCCTGGAGGGTCTTTGTTCACACTCACACTCTGCCGGCTGTGGTCGGTGCTCTTGCACAGCTCCTGACAATGAACAGGAAATTTCTTCTGGTTCCCTCCCCACCCGACTCAGAGGAGAGCAAAGGGTGTGTTAAACAAACACTACTGAGCAAAACAATTTATGAAGACAGATTCCTTTGTATTAGAGATCAGTCGAGTGAGTCCAGGGACCAGCTCAGGCACCCCAGGGGGGTAAAAAACACCCCCTAAAACCAACCAAAAAACCCCTCTCCAGCTTTGAAAAGGGGATGTGAAAAACAAGAGGGCGAAGAACACAGTAAATCAAAAAGTGCTTCTAAGAAAAGCAGCAGGATAAGATCATTCCCAGTCTGAGAGATCTCCCAGTGGCCCAGGAGGCAGCAGTGGCCCCACACCAAGAAGGAATTCTGCTCTGCAAGGGCCTGCAGGGAGTTCCCTCCTCCTGCCTTTGTTCTGGGCACTGTTGAATTCAGGAGCCAGCTGCCAGGAGGAGTTCCCATCCCCTCGTTTTCCTGCAGTGTCCCGTTTTCCTTCAGCAGCTCTCAGAAGTAATCATCCTTCTTGCCACCAGCTCCCCTCATCCCTGCACGGTCCTTCTGCTCCTGGACAAGCTCCAGGTCATCGTTGTCATCCACCTCCCCTCCATGATCCTCCTGAGGGCACAGGGAACAGCCAGGAGGGAAAAAAAATCAGCACAAAGGGAATCCTGGAGAAGGAAATCCTAAATAACAGCACATCAGAACTGTTCCACCAAACCAGCCCAGCTTTGGAAACCTGGGAACACAGGGAAAAACTCACCCCTGCCAGGACCTTGAGGTGTCACTGGCAGGACACAGAGGTGTTGGCATGATCAGCCAGGGTGTTTTAAGCACATTTAATATCCTGGCAGTAAAGTGCAACTTTGAGATCTCAGCCTGTTGCCTCTGCTGCATGAGGAGCAGAACGAGGGGCAGAGATAAAGAGCAGGCAAGAGGAGCTGATATTTTACATTTTTACATTTAAAACTGTGTCACAAACCCCAGCCAGGACATGCAGGAGCCAGCACAGCCTCCATGGGTGATTTCAGACACCTCCAAGAGGTCTGGAGTCACTCAGGGAAAGGAGACCTGACACCAGCTCTGCTCTGCCCACTCCTTATTTCCCCACTCCCTTCATTCCCAGCAGGCAGCCCAAAGCCTCAGCTCCTCAGAATCCTGGGGAAAGGGCAGAAAAAACTCTCAGGAGCCACTCACAAAGGGCAGGGAGAGAATGAATGAGACTGCAAGAGGATTTATTTCTCTCTGAGAGCCAGAAGGTACCAGGGTGATCCTCTGTAGCTCATGCTTGAAAAACATTGACCTGTGCCTTGCTGCACTGGCACAGCCTGAGATTCCTGCTGTGATTCCTCCTGTGGTTACTCCTGTGATTCCCTCCTGTAATTCCTGCTATAATTTATCCTATAATTCCTCCTGTGATTCCTGCTATAATTTATCCTGTGATTCCTCCTGTGATTCCTCCTTTAATTCCTCCTATGATTCCTCTTGTGATTCCTCCTATAATTCCTCCTGTGATTCCTCCTATAATTCCTCCTGTGATTCCTCCTATAATTCCTCCTTTAATTCCTCCTATGATTCCTCTTGTGATTCCTCCTATAATTCCTCCTGTGATTCCTCCTATAATTCCTCCTTTAATTCCTCCTATGATTCCTCTTGTGATTCCTCCTGTGATTCCTCCTTTAATTCCTCCTATAATTCCTCCTGTGATTCCTCCTATAATTCCTCCTGTGATTCCTCCTTTAATTCCTGCTGTGGTTCCTCCCAGCTGCTGTTTGGGAAGCATCCCACAGCTCAGCTGCTGCAGGTGGATGCAGACAGAAAGGAGGAGGGGACAAAGAGCACCAAGGGTGCTCTGAACAGCTGGAGAGGGGAGCAGTGGGCTCCAGGTTTGTTCTGGACACTTGAGTGAGCAGGCAGAGCAGTCCCTGGCTCCCCAAAAGCTGAGTCCTGCCCTGCTCCTGGCTGCCAACACGCCCAGGTGACACCAGACCAGAGAGGCAAAGAGGAAGAACCTTGGTGTCGTACAATTTCTTGCTCCTGATCTTCTTGGTAATCCTCCAGTGGGTCTTCCCTGGGCTTGGCAGGTCTGCCAGCATCCTGAAAAACACAGCCAGGCACGGGTGAGAGAGCCCCAGCCTGCTCCCACTCCCTGCCAGGGACACAGCTCCCAGGACCTGAGCCCCAGGTCTGGAATTCGGGGCTGGATCAGGAATCAGGGGGAGCAGAGGGACAATCAGGCAACACAAACTCCATTTATTTTTTTTCCATCCAGTCTCTTTTCCCACCTGCTGCCAGTTCCTTCCACTTGGAGAGGGAGGTCTGTCCTGCAGCAGGAGAGCCCCAGGGCTGTTGCCTCAAGCCCCAGGACTCTGAAAAACTTTGAATTATTTAGGGTAGAGCTTTAGGGAGCACAGCACAGCCAGATCTGAAAGCCAGGTATTTATGTCACTAATTCTTTCCACATTTTCTCAAATCTCAAGGAGGTGTTGCTCTGCTGGTGCCAGCATCTCTCTCTTAATGATTTCATTGGCCTGGATTTCTTTCTTTTCTTTCTTAATCCCACTATTAATCACGATTTTAAGAGCCTGAGAGATAAAACACTCCTTTTTTTTAAAAAAACAAGCAACGTTCAGCTGCTTGTCAAAACAAATGAACATTTCCCTGATGCAGAGTCTGGCTTCAGGCAGCAAGAAACACTTTGTGGAATAAATGGATGCCATCTGCAAGGAGGCAAACAAGGAGGCAGAGCTCTCACATGCTGCCACTGCTGCCAGGAGCCTTGGGCAGGGCTGCACTGACCAGAACCCAGCACAGACTCAGATTTTTGTCTCTGCTTCTGGTCCCAAGTGCATGGAAAGTCGCAGCCCCTCTGCAGGAAGAGCTGGGAGTGAGCCATCCCCTATTCCACATCTCTCCATCCCTAAACGTGGTGCAAGTGCCAGAGGGGATTTCAACAAGCAGAGAGGACGAGGCCAGAGCAAGCTGAAAGATAATTTCCTAAAATTGTCCTTTATCTTATTCTGCTGGACTTGCACAGCTGATTGTACCGAGAAGAAACACAAACAGAATCAAAACAAAGAACCAAAAATTCCTATGAAATGCAAATTTCAAGCTCCATTACAACCAGTAAAAGAAAAAAAGAAGTCGGTTTTGACCAACCTGCCAAAGAGCTTTCTCCTGCCTGCCCCATCCTCTCGGTGGGATTTTGGATCCATCCAGGAACCTGATGTGTCCCTTGCACTCCTTAAGCTCTCTGTCCCCCCATCCCCAGCTGGGGATCCCTCCCTGGCCCTGCTGCTTGTCCCAGTGACTCTCACCTTTGGTGGCTTCTCCTTTGGCTCTTCTTTAACGCTGGGCTCCTTGAACTTCTCTGAGCCTCCCACCTTCTCCTCAAAGTCAGGCCTCTCCAGCTCAGCCTCCTCAAACTCATCCTCACCTTGGTTATTGGGGTCCTGGGCAGGATCTGCAGCATCATCTGGCATCTGGACAAGAAAAGCCTCCCAGTGAACAGCTGGCAGGAGGCAGAGAGGTGCCTTCCCCAGCAAGCAGGAGCACTTGGTTGCACCTCTCCAAGCCTGTTAGTGTTTTGTTAAAAAAACCCCAAAACATTCTTTGTTATCCATCCAGACCCGAGGAGATTGGAGCTGAACATTACAGAAACTTTTGGGTGATTATTGATTTATTGGACTTTTATTCTGAGCCAGAGTTGCATCCAGGTGAAACATGGCAGGATGGAAAGGTGAAAACTTTTCCCAGCCAGGCTGGGCAGGGCTTGGAGCACCCTGGGGTAGTGGAAGGTGTCCCTGCTCGTGGTTGGGGGTGGATGGGATGAGCTTTAAGGTCCCTCCCAACCCTTGGAGTGGATTTGTGATGCTCTGGTTACTCACCATGGGCTCCTGGACCACGGGGGCTTTCTGTGAGTGCTCCTTGTCCTCCCTGTTGATCACTCCTGCATCTGCCAGGGACAGGGACAGGGACAGGGACACTCAGTGGGGTCTCCTCAAAGCCACTGCCACCACTTTGCTGCTTTATCTCAATTATTGGGGCAGGCAATGCACGCAGAGAAATTTTCCATCAAGGAAATCATTTCCTTACCCATCTCCAGCTCCTCCTCATCCTCCCTCTCCCTGTCTGCTGCCTGCTCTGCCCCTCTCCTCGGGCTGGGGGGCTGGGGGCTGCCCCTCTGCCCAGCCTTGGGGCCAAACTGGAGGCTCCTGGGGTAGCCACGGGCTTGTTCTTCATCCATCTGGGCATTGACTTTGCTGACAAGATCCTTCCAGCTGTAAGCAAACAGAACCCCCCTGCCTCAGGAAATGTTCCATGAAACTATTTCATAATGGCAAGCAGAAAAAAATACTCCACGATGCAGAAGTTTGGTCTAATTTAACTTTTTTTTTTTTTTTTTTTTTTTTTGGTCAAAACTAGCAGGTTGTATTAATTACTGAGATATCTGCTTGGAAAAGAAGATTTAATATGTCACATAGTAGGAAAAAAAGTTCTGCTTTGTAAATACAATTTATTGTAGAACTCCCTTAATATTATTCATATGACAATGACATTCACATAGCAGTAAAATCCAATTCTAAATAGGTTCTTACTCATGCCTCACACATACCCAAACACACACATCTAAGGGTTTAAAAATATCCAAACCACAAGTCCTCTTCATTGTTCCAACTTCATGGAAAATGAAGATGCTACTAAATTAAAATGAATCCTTCCCAAATATCTCAATAGCCTTAGTCAGGGACAGCTTCAGAAGCAAAGAAGGGATGAAATCCCAGTGACAGGGACTCAAAAATTAAGTGAAGCAAAACCTTTTAACCCCAGTAAATTAAAGCAAATTTCCAAGCTGACTGCTCCAGCCTGTCCTCTACATGAGATTTTAAAATCCATTTAACACATTTCAGTTTTTAACTGCTGGAAAGGACAAGTGGCTTTAACTTTAGAAGTTCTTTAAGCCAAGAGACAAACAAATGAGATTTAAAAATGCAGTTAAGACATTTCAGTTTTTAACTGGTAGAAAGGACAAGTGGCTTTAACTTTAGAAGTTCTTTAAGCCAGCATAGAAACAAATGAGATTTAAAAGTCTGCTTAAAACATTTCAGGTTTTAACTGCTGGAAAGGACAAGTGGCTTTAACTTTAGCAGCTCCTTAAGGCAGCACTCAAACCCTTCAGTGAGAAAAATCCCAAGCCAGCCCTCAGCTCGGATTTCCCCATTCTAAAATAATCCAAATGCAGGTTGGCCACCAGCAAGAGCTGGTCAGGAGCCCCCTGGTCAGAACCTCCCAGGGCACTTCTGGCTCTGGCAGGGTTGGGTTCTGTTCTCCTTCTCACAAATCTCAGCCTGTGTAAACCACAGCCTCCAGCTCTCTGTAATTCCTTGGTGACAGCTCCAGGAAAAGCAAAAAGCACACAAAGCACCCCAGGATCCCTGTCCTGGCTGAAATCCCTCACCAAACAAATCAATATTTGTATTTTGTGTCTCACACAGTGACAGGAACCTGGCTGGGCTGTGTGTGGTGAGGAAAGGCCATTCTGCCATCACAGCCACACCAGGCCCTGCCTGATTTTGATGCCTCGGGGTTTTCGTTTTTACATTTTTCATGGATTTGTAATCCTGGAATTCTTTAGGGTAGAGCTCTAAACTCCATGCACAGTGTGAGCTGCTGATTTCTCATTGTGCTCACACACAATAATTCCTCTCCAGGCTGGCAATCAAGGACACCTCACAAGAAATAGAAATAAAAATGAGTTGGGGGAACCAAATTTGGGGTAAATTCCTTCATTACCTGAAGCTATAATTGGAAGATTAACCCCTAATCTGCAAACTTATAAAAGTGTGAAAACCCGTGGTCCATTTTTGGGTGTAAAAAAATGTACCCGAAGGCCCTTCAATAAATATTTATATAAACTGCTTTTTATTCTCCTGATTTTGTTTTTAGGTAGCCCCGAAAAGGCATCACAACACAGCACCCCCTGAGCTGTCCCTGCAGATGTGATTTATCACTTTGGGGAGGATGTGGCCATTTAAAGAAATAAGCAAAGCACAGTCTCTGCCCTGGAAAGGTCACAGGTTAAGTGAACAGACAAAAATAGAAGAGAAGAAAAGGCAGGAACAGGCTGAGTCTAGAATGAAATCCAGAAGTTTCTTCTACAGATAAAGCAGAAATGAAATGCTGTGTGCTCCAATGAACAGAACAGACACGACCTGCACACACACACAGAGGGATAAATAAGTTACAGCAGGAAGCACTATTTTCAGAGCCACTTTTTTGGATTGTGGCCAGGCTTTGATGAATTGCAGCCACACAGAGACATTTTCCTCCTTTAGCAGAACAGAGCAGTGTCCTGCCAGTTGTGAGACAATAAATGATTTCCCCAGTTCTCTACAGCATCCACTGGATCCTGGGCCCTGCCCAGACTCCCAGGAATTCCACCAACACCAAAAAAACACCAAAAAAAAGCTGTTCCCCAACCATGTGTCAAGCAAACCCACAATAAACACAAGAAAGGAAAGAGACCTGGTGTGGGGAAGGAGAAGGATTTGACAGGAAGGTCTCACAGATATGTTTGGATAACAGAAAAACCTTTGAATGCAGAATTTAAAGAAGGAATAGAAATGATAGCAAGTTTTGATCTAGAAAAGAATCGCTGAGCCAGGTTTATTGGGTAACAAGAAGGCAAAGAGCAAAGTGAGTTGGAAGGGGATTTTATAGCTCAGAACAAAGGATAAATCCACCTCAAAAAAAAGATGTTTTTACCAAGCAAAAAGATTTTCACAGGCAAACAAAAATGCCAATGTTGCAAGTGGAAAGAAAGATCTCAACATTTTCCACTGCAAGAAAACTGGAAACCAACTTCTGGCTTAAACTGTGACACACTGACTTGTTGTGATTGGAAAATAATAACAGGAATATGGAGATGTCAGCAGTCATGATTGGCTGTAGGGAACAGTCAAAGCATTGATTGGTTCCATGTTTGAAGATGCTCTGCAATGAAAAGGAAATAATGGAACCAGAGCTGGAGTTGGCTTCAGACAAACCCACAGCAGGGGCTGGAAAAATAATAAATACATTGCTGCATCATTTGGACACAATAAACAGAATTTAAAATAATAAATAAATTGATGGATCATTTGGATACAATAAATAGAATTTCAAAGAGCCCCCTCAAGTCCCACACCCCCGTTTGGGCTTTTACAACCTGGGATGCTCCTTTTGGGCATCAAAAGTTGAGAGCAGAAGAGTTTTGTGTCACCAACCTTTGCATTTGCACCTGTCTGTTCCCTGCTGAGGGGGAGTTTTGTGGCACTGGAGGATTTTCTGCTGGAGAGGCTTGTCCTGGCTCAGCCAGGGACAGCCCAGGAGCTTGGCTTTCCTCGTGGCTCCTCACCTGGATGTGCATCACCATCTTCACATCCTGCAGGGGAGACACACCTGGGCACCTGGGACATCAAATACCCCAAACCTGGGCAGGTTTATGGGCCAGAAAACCCTTTATCAAAGAGCAAACACCCTGAAGTGCTCCAGAAGGAATTTACAGTCCTGCCCACCCCCCAGTAGAAGAATCCTCCTATAATGCTGCCAGAAATGAATAATTCAGATCCTACCAGGTTTGTCTGGGGTAGGTGAATCTCCAAGAAAAGAGGAACAACAAAACTGCCTCTAAAATGCTTCTCCCATTTAATTACTGTAATTAAAGTCCAGCCACACTGTAATTACTGTCTTTTTTTAGAGATTTGCTGTCCATACCTCCCTCTCCATCACCCCAGGAGGGCACGAGGGGCTGCTTGGATGATTTCCTCTTTGCAGGCTTGGAGAAGAACCCACTGCCCTGAGCACCCCAAACACCCCAAATCTGAGCTCCTGAGTGTGTTAAACTTCCCAGAGCACCCCCAACACCCCAGTTCTGAGCTCCTGGGTGTGTTAAACCTGAGACCAACGGTGCCCAGAGCACCCCAAGCACCCCAATTCTGAGCTCCTGAGTGTGTTAAACCTGAGACTAACAGTGCCCACAGCACCCAAACACCCAAATTCTGAGCTCCTGAGTGTGTTGCACTGCCCAAGAACACCCCAAACACCCCAATTCTGAGCTCCTGAGTGTGTTAAACTTCCCAGAGCACCCCAAACACCCCAAATCTGAGCTCCTGAGTGTGTTAAACCTGAGACCAACAGTGCCCAGAGCCCCCCAGACACCCCAAATCTGAGCTCCTGGGCGTGTTGCACTGCCCAGAGCCCCCCAAACACCCCAGTTCTGAGCTCCCACAAGCCCAAAGCTCAGCAGAACCTACTGGGCTGGGCAGGCTGTTCATGGTGCGGGTGAACCTGGCCACGTGCCCAGGGCCGTGCCCCGCTGGCCAGGCTGGCACAGCCTCTGGCAGGGAGTTGCCATCCTGGGCTGGGGCTGGCTGGCTGAAGGGCACCTGTGGCTGTGGCCTGGGGCCAGCGTGGCTGGAGGATGCCAGTCCTGGCAGGTGCTGAGCGCCGGGCACGGCCGAGGGCAGAGCCGGAGGGTTCTGCTGGAAAACCTGCGAGGAAAAGGATGGAAAAGGGTGGGTGGAAGGGAGGATTGCAGGGAGGGAGGATTGCAGGGAGGATTCCAGGGAGGGAGGATTGCAGGGAGGATTCCAGGAAGAATTCCAGAAAGGATTCAAGGAAGGATTCCAGGAAGGGAGGATTCCAGGAAGGATTCCAGGGAGGATTCCAGGAAGGATTCAAGGAAGGATTCCAGGAAAGAAGGACTCCAGGGAAGATTCCAGGGAGGATTCCAGGAAGGATTCAAGGAAGGATTCCAGGGAGGGAGGAAGAATTCCAGGGAGGGAGGAAGTATTCCAGGAAAGATTCCAGGGAGGATTCCAGGGAGGATTCAAGGAAGGAAGGAAGGAAGGATTCCAAGAAGAATTCCAGGAAGGAAGGAAGGATTCCAAGAAGAATTCCAGGAAGGATTCCAGGAAAGAAGGACTCCAGGGAAGATTCCAGGGAGGATTCCAGGGAGGAAGGAAGGATTCCAGGAAGGATTCCAGGAAAGAAGGAAGCATTCCAGTAAGGAAGGAAGGAAGGGTTCCAGGAAGGGTTCCAGGGAGGATTCCAGGAAGGAAGGAAGGATAAGAGCAAACTCTCAGCTTTGTTGTTTGAAAGCTGCAGGAGCTTTGCAGAATGCTGATCCCTGTTTTTCCTGGGAATACCTCACCTTCTGCCTCCCTGGCTGCAGCTGGCTGCTGGCTGGCACCAGGGGCTGCTGCCCCTTCCCAGCTCCTCCTCCTCCTCCTCCTCCTCCTCCTCTCAAGCCTGGCATCTTCTGCAGAGCTTCCTTGAGCTGCCTGAACTCTTCCATCTGGGCCTGAAGGGAGGAGGACACAGAGAAACCTCACACGGGGTTAAACATCTCCCTGCTGGCAACAGCCCCTCCCGATTTGTTTGTCAGAGACACATTCTCAAGAAAAAAAATGTATTTGATACATGTAAAAGTTGGAGAAGATTCACAACCATCAATGACAAATCCAGATTCCTGCATTGCCCCTTTGCCTCGTATTTTATTGCACTTGTGATAATTGATAAAAGATTCGTGTTAATCACAAAAGCATCGGGGTTTGTATAAACCAGAATACTCAGCTCTGAAGTGAAGCATGGACACTAGATAATGGAAATTATATTATTAAATCATTCTGTTTAAAATCACCTTGTTATGGTATATTTTGTTATTTTATGTTATTTTATATTACGTTGTGTTTTCCAAATAAGTTGTGTGGGCTCCCAGCTTGCAAACTCAGCCTTCCCAACAGCCCTTCCTGCCTTTGTGTGCTCAATGCTGCTCATCTCAAGGAGCAGACTCCCAGAACTGCTCTGCTGGGTCTCTACAAGGATGTTCATTCAACCACCACTGCTTAGGACAACAAAAAAACCCAAAATTATTGATGACAATAAAAACCCCAGTGTGAGAAGAGGCTGCAAACCGAGGTTGGGTGGAGCGTGGAGTGGGCGCTGACCCCTCACGTTCCCCAGCGCTGCCTGCTCTGTCTGTAGCAAATAAAACAATCTCAGTTCTGCTCAATATCGATATTTGTCTCTCGTTTATAACACACTTTTACCCTGATTCTTCTCCTGGTGCTGTTGGGTGCAGGAGCCGTGGATGATCTCCTGCCTTGGCACAAGGATCCTGTCCTGTCTAATCCTGCACTTCCAGGTCACCTCATTTTTTCCCAAAGGAGCATTTCCCCCTGGATGTGCCCATCCCAGGGGGCTGACAATTATTGCCACAATCCCACCTGACAACTCAATTTATTTGGCAAGACAAAGGAAAATCCATCGGGCTGGGTAAGCAAATGCCACCCTCCTCTGTCTCCTGCAGCTTCTGCCTTTCATCTCCAACCCTGAAAAGCAGGGCTTGAAAAAGCCACTCAGGAAAAGCTCCTCATTTCCACCCTGGTTATTTATAGGAAATTAAGGGGGGGGAGACCTTTTCATGTGCTTGCCAGGGTACCTGGAAATGGACCAAACTAGGGAGTGGGCAGAGTAGGAAAGATTCCAAGCAGCAAGAAAAGTTTAGCAGGGAATTAATTCCTGAGTAGGTTCTGTTGATTTCAGTTCTTCCCCCTGAAATGTGACCTTAAAATTAACTTTAAAAACAAAACAAATGCCAACAAAAGCCCTCAAAGCAAAGCAAACATCAAAGGAACGAGGAGAAGGCAGCCAGGAAGAATTCCTGAATTTGTGGGAATCTTCCAGTCAGGACAAACCAAACTTGGACCCATCCATTCATTCACCACCTCCTGGAAGGATTTGGAATGTGAGGAGACATTCCAGGGTTGGGAATTCAGAGATTTTTGTGCAGCAAATCTTTCTTTTCAGCTGCTGGGACAGATTGCAGGCTGGAGAATTTTCCAGAATGGATCTACAGTACCAACACCATTTCGGGCAACTCCCCAGCCTGGAGTACAGCTGGTTACTGGATTTGTTATTTCGAGAATATTTGGATGCAGACCCCAGAGGTTACCTGGGCATTGAGGAGCTGGGAGTGAACCTCCTGGTGGGCTTTCCTGAGCAGCTTGCTCTCTTCTCTGAGTTTGAACACTGTGTCTGCAGGACAAGAAGAAATTCGCTTAAAAGAGAATTTTATTTTTTTTTTCAAGTGTGCCATCTCTGTTTCTCACCACAAATTCTTCCTGACCTCACAGATCTCTCCAAGCCCAGGAATTACAAACCTGCTCATTATTCCTTCCAGAATTCCTTCTCTCCAGACTCCTTCCTAACTCCCGCTCCCAGCTCAGGCTCTTGCTGTGTTTGCCACGGATAATTTGATTTTTTATTTCCTTTCCCCCTTACAGCTGAACAGAAAAGGGGAGCAGGGAGTCACTGCCCCTTCCTGGGGGAATTGGAAGCTTAAGGAAGAATCCCAAGAAGTGTTTGTAGCTCTCCTAAACCCACAGATTTCCTCCTCCTGCACAGAGAAGCTGCTGCTTGATGATACAAAACAAAAAAAAACAAAAAAAACCCACGACCCACTTAGAGAAAATAATCATGGGACAGCTCTGTCCTCAGGCACGTTTATTCCTGAGCTTTTAAGGCACGGTTGTGCCCTGCATCCTCCAGGTTGGAGCTTGAAAAAAAAGCTTTTTTTTGCACATTGCTGAGCACTGCAGTGCTGAGACGTGTGATGTGCTGAGGTTTGGGATCATCCTGTACCCTGTGATGGAAGGGAAAGGCTCTGTCCCAAAATGCCAACCTGATTCTGGCTCCTGGATCTCTCAGAACATCCCCAGGACAGGAGGCACTGGGGTTTCTCTGTGGGCTGGGATGGGAATTTTTCCATGACTGAATGGCACACAAGGCTCAGAATCACAGATATTTCTGATCACAGGGTTTCTTTTCTTTCTATCCAGCCCTGGGACAGCACATTCTGCCCCTGAGGTTGGGTGCTGAGCTCTTGCAGGGAGGGTTGACACCAAACTGAGAATGGAACCCTGACTGAGAGCCAACCTCACACCCCCCTCCATTCCCCTCTGACAATGTTCCTGGAATAGGAACAGGGACAATCAAATATTTAGGTTCCATTTATTTGTCCTCAATTTCCTCTCTTCTAACCCAAAAGCTCATCAGATATTATACACTGGGCTTTGTTGAGCAGAGGGGGGGAAAAAAACCCCAAATATCCACGAGCAGATTTTTGGTGTTCCAGACCTCATCAAGCAGGAACAGATGCAAACCTTAAAAGCCCCACAATGTAATTAAACAGCAAGTGAATAAAAACCCCTCTTTGGGAATGAAAGGGATCAGCATTTCCTGCAACACTCACACTATTAAATTGCATTTCACAGACCTGCACCACGAATTACAACAAGTGGGTTTGATTTTGCTCAGATGTCAGAATTTGCAGGATTTGTTGCAGGACGACAACACCTCACCAAATTATTCCCGGGGGTGTTTTTGGGGTGGCTTGCAGAGGAATCTCTGCCCTCCCTCGATGCCAGGCTGGTGTTTTGTGTTTTTTTTTTTTTTCTCACCCTGCAGGTTGGTGACCTCGCTGTCCCTGTCGTGCTGCAGCTGGCTGAGTTTTTGGCTGTGGCTCTCCAGGCTTTTACGGTGCTCCAGTTTCAGGCTGTTGTGCTGCAGCTGCAGGTCCAGCAGCTGCTTCTTGACATCATCGTGCTGGTTCTGGCCACAAAAAGAAGGGTCAGAGTCAGCCCTGGAGGAGGAATTTGGTGTTGCCAAGTGTGGCTGAGCCCTGGGGTGCTCCAAGGGCCAGGAGAGATTTTTGTCCCTCCAGTGAGGCAGCCACAAATCCCAGGTCCAACCAAACATTCTCTGTGCTCAGTGGTCCAATTAAATGCCAATTAAATGCCAATTAAACTCCACTCTGGGAGGAGGTTTTGGGGGTTTTGGTGGCAAGTCCCATTCTGGGATGGAGTCAGGGGCTGCTCCTGCAGGAATCCATCCCAGTGCAGGCCATGAAATTTGCTGGTATCAAACTCAAAACTTGTGGAACACAAATCCAGAATCCCCAGACCTTTAAAGGACATTTCCCTGCTCCTTTCCACGGAGCCCCCAGCCTGCACACTGCAAACTGGGAATAATCACCTTTTACAGGTCCAATTCCCATTATTTTCTTCAGGTGTTGGACACACCTGGACACCCAGAGCTTTTCCCTCTGCTTTGCTTTGCTTCCCAACAGCCTGGGAGTTCTCCCAGCCCCCCCGAGGGGATCCTGGCAGTGCCCACGTTCCCCACAGCACCACAGGCATCCAATTCCAGGCTAACAAGACTCTCACAAGCCCAGGAATTCACCAGGCAGAAGTGAGCTGCAGAGCTGCTCTCCCCTCCCCTCTTGCAGAAAACACACAGAAATATCCTTTTGCTGGGA